TTTTTTTCTAATTTTTTTAATACATGCAATTTTATTAATAGATTTTTTAAATAGCAAATTAAAAAAATATATATATAAAAAAAATCATGGATATTTATTAAAAAATATTATTTAAATTAAATTTTTTTTTTTTAATAATTTTAAATTGTTTTTAACCTTATTTATTACTTTCATATTATATTTATTAATTTTTAATAATTCATTTATTTTTTATATTTAAAATTAAAATTTATTTTTAATTTAATTTTTTATTAGTTTTTTTAATAAGCATTATTAAAGTTTAACAATAATACTAATAGCATTTTATATAAATAAAATGATTAAAGTCATTAAATAGCATAAAAAGTGAATTTGTGTATCATTAGCATTACGAACTCCACGAATATCAAATCTACCTTGACAAAACTTGAGATTTGAGTATTTTCGGACCTTCGAACAACTTTACTTAGACCATTTACTTGAACTAAAGTGCCGAAATAATGCAAATCTTAAAAAAGTGAATTTGTGTATCATTAGCGTTACGAACTCCACGAATATCAAACCTACCTTGACGAAAATTGAGATTCAGGTAATTTCGAACTTGCTGAACAAATTTACTTAAGGTATCTTTATATGTTTCATTTGACCAAAGTTTCTATATTTCACCTGAATAAAAAAAGTAAGGGAATTTTTTTTTGCAAAAAATACTACTCAAAATTTTTTCTGTAATCTGAAATGTATAAAATTGTGATAATTAAGCAGGCATATTATATTTGATTTTTTTTTTAAAAAAAAATAAAAAGGAAAAATTTTTTTTAAAAAAAAAAAGATCAGATCGATATTTACAAATATACAAAAATTTTGTATTAAACTGAATATCTGAAATATGTGACGCTAATAATAATTTTATGCTAAAGAACATTTTAAAGATCTCGAAACACTTACGATTCGTGCACATTACATAGCTTATGCTATCAGTTGCGTTTTGTTAGCGATTTGTTTTGCATACTTTGGTAGAAAAGTGAAAGGTTTCGCAGAAGGTAGCATTAGATTATTAATGAGTAGTGAGTTGGATGTAACACTACCAAGTACACATGCCACACAGCCACACACTGGTAAAAATTACCACCGGTACTGAATAGCAAACTTGTAAATTAAAATGTCAAATAAAAAAATCACAAAGATTATCAAATTTTATTACGATGCTTTTAAGATCTCGGGAAAAAACTCTAATTTCAATTTGGCAAATTCGAAATACTTTTAACATTTTCAACGGGTAACTTTTGGAATCCGTTGAAAATTTGCCATCGTCGAAACTTTTGCACCCAAAACATTCGCGATTTTGCCTTTAAAAAATTTTTGTAAATGTCAAAACTAGGTTCTATTTTGCCACTTGCCGAGACCTCAGGGATTTGTCAGGCAACCTTTAATGCTTTTTAAAAAGAAAACACGAAGTAAGGCGTTAATAAGCATAATAAATAGGAAAAATGCATCAACTTACACGACAATGGAGGTGGGTTAGTTAAAAAAAAAAGGTAATAAGTCACAGTGGATTTTTGCGCGGCTCTCCGGATATCTATTCGTTTTTAATTCAATGTATGAATGGTTTATTAATGATTAGTTAACAACCGCTCAATCATTGCTTTAAATTCCTTTTAAGAATGCATATTTGTTGCTACATTTGGAAATTGTTCGTTTTAAAGAACCTTTTTCCAACTCATAAGATTAAAATTTCTCGAGTGGTTATTCAAGTTTTTGTGATGTGAATTAAAGTTTGATTATTATTAAGAAATGTCCATTTCATTCATTAGGGAGAAAAGAGTTTGAAGTATTATAATTTTAATATTCTTCACGCCAGTGACTACAATCAAATTTCACCAGGCATTTTATGATCTTTCGAAAGGAAAATTTGAGGTTAGCAGAGATTTATTAATTTAAAAAGCGAAAATTTATCTCGGAGTTTAGCAGTTTTCAGCTGTTTATTTTTACTAAATTTCTCTCATATTGAGAACAAAGTTAATTATTTCAGAAATCTCAATTCAAAGCTTTAAAACATAAAATGTTATCAAGGAAAATACATGACATGAAAATATATTCCTGCTGAAAAAATTGGATATAATACAGCAATAGTATTAAAAATCGGGAACCGAATAAATCCTGATGGGAAAAATTGATCATCGGATAGTCTACAATAAACCAAGGCCTGTAAAGAGTTTCTTTGCTAGTAAAGAATATCACATGATCTCGTCATCAGTTAATAAGTTAATACTCCGAAGACTTCAATCTTGTCATTTCCAAAATAGTTTGACCGATTTACAGTTCTTCTGATCATCCGGGTACCCAGGTCGACGTGTCGACTCGGGTCAAAGCAAAAACGTGACCCTGATCCGACGGTCGGGTTTTTTTGAATTAGATAAATGTAGAGTTATGTTGGTATTGTTCAACTTTGATTCTTCAAAAACGATCAAAAATAATAATGTGTTTTATAATAGGGTTACTTCAAGCAGAAGATAACAACAGTTGGGTACGACACAGAAAAAAAAGTGAATTATCGTAGAACTATTTATTACTTGTAAAATCCGAAAATTAATAATTTTTAAAACTTTTTGGTTAAAGTATTTTCAGAAAAAATATGTTTCGCGCATTGTAGCGCAGCGATTGATTTTCTTCAAAAAAGAATCTTGCGCCTCTTTTCCTCGAATTATATCGTTTCTGCGGGTATCAGGTGGGTTAATTTTTAAGTTGCTTTTTTTTTTTATTTTAGCAACCGGTGGGGTCACTCCTTCACAATTGATACAATAAGGTAATGTTGGTGTTCGTTAAGTTACTATATTAAGAATGATTATAGTTTTCGAAATGATAGTTACCTCATCTTTAAATTAATTATTCATTTAAAGTTCATATTTATTTGAATACGAACGACAAATCTTTAACACAGTGTATAACGGAATATTCCATGAAAAGCCTTATATCATTCATGGACCATACCAAAGTGGCAAAACCTCATTTTTAAATGTGTTCAAGGAGTCACTCATTAAGAAATACATAGTTCCTGCGCATTTCGATATAATTGCCTTAAAAGGGCACAGATTCGATATGGGGAACGGGCAGAATTTTTCAATTATTTATCACATCTCCTCTTTGAATTAGAGATCAATAAATACCTGAATTCACTAAAAGATCGTTTATATCTTCTTATAGACGAGTTCCAGTGTATCTTCGAATCCCAGGAACTCCAGATAGCGTCAAGTGATTTCTTTAAAACTCTCTCTGCCAAAAAAGTTATTGTTTGTGTGGACATTTTTAAAGTCTTAGATTTGCTGTACGATAATGATGAAAACTCACTTGGATCTCCTTTTAACTAAGCCACCTTCCTCCCGATGCCATTCTTCATATTTGAAGAGATGGGCAAACTCTTTCTCTTATATGAAATGTTCATTGATGAAAGTATCCCGAGGGATTTGCAGACAATCATTGTACGCAAGTCCTTCGGACATCCGGAATTCTATTGAGGCTCTTTCACAATTTTCGGGAGGACTCATCAGCCGCATGGAGCCTTATATTGAAAGAAAACCTTGAACATTACCTGAATGGGACCATATGGGGGCTAAGCTATTAAAATCACCTTACGGGATAAGAAATTGATTTTGAGTAAATAATGATTAAAAAAAAAATTATTTTACAGGACTAATTTTTGTAAAACTTATTAAAATCACCCTACGGGACATTGTTACACTAATTTTTTCTAAAAAAAAAAAAAAAGGAATTTTTCAATAAAAAAAATAATAATGTCGATCATTTCTAAAATCTAATTTTAGATTTTTTTTACTGATGTTACACAAAAAATGAGAAATTTTGACGGCC